AGAGGAAGAAAAGGATGGGTATGAATTGATTTGTAGAGAAATTGATTGCATGCTGAATATATGTGGTAAATTTCTTGATTTCAGACTCAATAACGTCTTCATTGATGATGCTTGGATTTCCAGGACTGGTACCTGAAATTATTTTTGTGAACTGACAGAAATTTGGCAAGTATAGTCTAAGTAGCTGGACAGAAAAAAAGCCAATAATAGAAAAGCTATTATAGCCATAATGCGTAGGCTTATCAGTGGCATGAATAGTATAATTTTTATTTTGAATCATGGCTAAAAATTTCTCGTCCTTTTCTATTGCTAGCTCCTTGATTCCAGTATTGATGCTTAGCGTTGAAATCTCACCCACTTAAAGCAGGTGAGTTCAAATCCAGTAGTTGTTCAATTTCAGAAATGATGGGATTATTATTAGGAGATGTATAGATATTAGAGATAATGATGTTTTTATGTTCAATTTTGATTTCGATAGTATTGTTTTCAAAAGACGTAGAAAAGTTTTGTTTGATTTCATGTTGGATGCTCCTTTTAACAAAAGTGATGATTCCATTATAAGGTATTTCTCCCGCTTTCCTAGCGTGCCTTCTTGGTGTAGTGGTTCTGCACGCTTGGCCGGTGTTCCAGAGGTCCGTGGTTCGATTCCCAGGGAAGGCAGTTGCTAATTTTTATCTCTCCGGCCTCCAAAAAAAAATCGTAATGTCTCTACATAGGCTCCCGAACTAAAAGGGGGTGTGATGAGGATTCTCCATACTCAGGATTTGGCGATTGGGTCCCCTAAAAACCCCAGTCACCCTTTAAAAAGGGAAGTATAAAAGGTATTTCTCACGCTTTCCTAGCTTGCCTTCGTGGTGTAGTAGATCTGCACTCTGAGCCGGTATTCAAGAGGTCCCTGGTTCAATTCCCGGAAAAGGCAGTTGCTAATTTTTCATCTCTCCGGCTTAGAATATTAACCTAATGTCTCTACACCACCTCCGCGCCCGGTTTCTCGATCCGCACTGTAAGTAGAATAGTTCGCATAATTCACTTACAGTGCAGGTTTCGAATGTGTTTCCAGTATAAAATTGTAGTCTAATCCGTATGCCTGTATTCAGCCACCCACACCCCAAACATACACGGAATTTTTGCTTACAGGTGCAGTTCAGGTTTTCCCTTTACAGACAGCACTGCAATTTTTGTTGATATTTTAATTACATTGTGATGTGATTTGAATTTATAATATATCCATACATTTTATAGTTATCAGCGGTGCATTAGATAAGTATTCAACGGTGCGTAACATACGTTAGTATGTATCATCCCCTTACACACTAGGACACGGCATCCAAAAATAATTCTTTCGACATTTGCTGAAATTTCATTGTAGATATATAATTCTTAAATCATCTTTGTTTTGCCTCGTTTAGATCGTAAAATCTTTACTCATTGTCATTTTTATTTTGTATAAGTGCTTAAAGAAATTACCCCCCCCCAAAAAAAAATCTGCCGAAAAATTGCCCCGTAATATTTTTATTTTGGCAACATATGTTTTTCATTTATCAGCGGTGCATTACACAAGTGCTAGGGATTTTATTACAGTTTATTATTTTTTAACCATTGATTTTTTAGTAATGTTTTTGAAAAACTAGAAAGTGTACATTTAACGAAGGAATACCCGTTTATTAAAAAAATGTAAGCGATTCCGATGTGCAGTGCAATACATGTTCATCAAAATCTTCAAAATGCCATCGTGAACGAAATGATATTAAACGTCATATAAATAGTAAAAAACATAAAATATCAGACTCTGCTGCTGTATCCAGTTTGTTATTAAGGAATTTCTTCGAAGAAAATGGGTGATAAGAAAGAAGATAAGCTCCAGCATAAGGTACTTTTCCGTACCACGCTATTTGCCACAACCACAGCTTTAGGTCAACAGACTGTATGTTTAAGCTTCTTTAAGTGGCATTTGAGCCTAAATGCAAGAACCAAGGCCGAAGCAATAACACTAAATGTTTTCATGCCTTACGCTTTAAGAGCTTTGCAAAATGATTTGTAAAAATGTACATTTGTTTCATTCTTAACTGATGCTTCCAATCAGAAGGAAATAAAACGTTTTTCAATACTTGTTAGATTTATAGATTGGAGTTATCCAGTTTGAGTAAAAATTTTAGAATTTAAATCTCTACCTGGGTCTACTATGGGAATTAATGCTAAATTTTTGCTGACAATATCAAATCAAGCATCCGATATTTTCAGCAAGAATTTAGCATAAATTCCCGCCATTAAAAGATATTTTATCACTGAGGGTTTATTTTCAATCTCAAAAGTGTCTCATGCCTATTTTAAAATTCTTTGAAAATCCAGTGGCTTGGCTACATTTTATTAACACTCAGACTTCAATATTTTCTAAAATTATTACAACTGAAAATCAAACTGCATCTGTATTTTATGTATTGCTTCAATGGTTGCTCTGAAAGCTCCAATATTGAGCAAGATAGAAGCAGGGGCATAGCTAGAGTATGCAGCGCCCGGGGACAACATCAGTTGGATGCCGCGCCCCTTGGATGACGCGCCCGGGGACAGATGTCCCCCCTTGCCCCACCCTAGCTACGCCACTGGATAGAAGATAACTTTATTCCATTAAATATTAAAAACAATCTCTTAACATATTTGAAGATGCTGGAGACATGTCACAATACGAAGTTATTGAATTTCGAAAAGCTATTGTTTCATTTTATCACACTGCTCTCATTTTGAGAAATGGACAAAAAATGTATTTCAGGAGATGGAAACGTACAGGTGGATCATATTAAATGAAATACCTTCTTGCAGTCAAGTTGAGTCACATTTTTTTCTAAAATTAATAAAATGGTACCAAATAAGAAACTATTGGAAATTGATATATGTGAGAAATATCTGTACCTGAAGGAAAAGGAAAAGCATTGGAATGATAAAAAAATAAGATGTGCTCAGTTCAGAAGTGCAGTTCAATGATACATTTAGTTAGTTCATTAAAATAATTTAGAAAGATTACGAATTTATTATTTTGTTTAAAAATGACAATGCCGTAGATGAATCTACACACATATATATATATTGATGTATATAAACTTAAAGCATCTAATGTTAAAAGTAAATTGGAGTCAAAACAAGGCGATTCCTCAATAATATTATTAATTGCATCCTTGTAAAGGGGATAAACATAACGTCAAAACACTTACACACACACACACACACATATATATATATATTGATGTATATAAATCTGGTAACCTTAATTTATTTCAAAAGTTACTTTCATTGTTGTCGATAGATGGCGTTTTTCCTTACCGAGTCCCATCCGTACCATGTGACAAAGAAAGTCTATTACAGATTATTAAGAACAATACATATTCTTTGCCATGTGATGCCTCCAAAAGACACCATTCGCCAAAAAGCCTCACACCTCACACGACGCATCTAGTGGATAATATATTTGTTTAAGCGTATTGCTTGCTGTTGTTGAGCGAGTACGGTCGTGTTACCGAAGTGTTTGTTTTTTTCCTTCAGGGATTTTATCAGGAAGAATTTAATATGGTAAGTTATTTTGATGGAATTTATTTTGTTATGATTGAAGATTCGAAAATGTTTCAAGTTACCACATTGAATTTAGGTACGATGAACTAACTATCGACATGGTCGTGAATAATTTAATTAATTAATATTCTAGCAAAGCACCTTTTTTTCAAAAATCTGTATGCCATGTATTAATATATAAAATTTTTTAGTATTCATATATGTTTATATTGACATGATAAAAGAGTATTTAAAGATGATTGTGCCTCGAGAAATTATGCAGTTTCATACTGCAATATTATACTAGCCTTGCTAACATATACTGGTAGCAGTGGAGTTTCAAGATCACTCCGAAAGGACCTATTTCTGCTGCAGAATCTACATTTCATATAAAATTCATGTACGAACAGGTTTACGAAGGTTTTTATCGTGTATTAAATCACGTGCTACTGTTTTCACTATATGAATTCGTGCGTCAGCAAATTAGTAAACTGTTGTTACTTCAGTTGTTGGAAATGTTTTTAATTATAAAATATGTTCTTTATTAAACAGGCAAAAATATTCGTTTGTCTAATTTACGATAGAATAGCCCCCTTCCGTTGTTTGGCATTTATTTTAAACAGTTTGTTTTAAATATATAGCAGTTTATGATTTTATGTTCTGTATCCTAAATTTTTCAGAATTAATTTCTTATGGCATTGTTGCAACAAAAAACATAGCACAAAAAGTCTTGAATCTGAATGCGAAAGTACGAATACGATCAAAAGAAAAAAATTATATTTTTAAAATTTTGAATTGTAAACTTTTCTTTGCGATATTAAACCGTAATCATATTTTCAGGTGCAAATTTGTTTAAACATGTTGGAATGTAACGTGAAGCAAACAAAATTAACATAAATTGGGAATATATAGATAGCCTAGCATAATTTTGTAAATGAGCATATAAAGGAGATTTAGTTTGTACTTATAAGGTATATAATATATATCATATAATTTTGAGCACCACTGGGAAGACAAGGCATGCTAATTACCGGTATTTAATTACAAATTTTATGACTCCAATTAGCTTTTTATTAGTCAAACTGCAGAAAAACTAAAACCCTATCTTTGGCTAATGTTTATTTACCAGAAATAATTGATTAGATATTTTCATGAAATTAAATAAGTTTGGAATCTTTTTCATCTGTGTTTAGTGTCAATAGATTTTAAATTGTTTTGAAGTGTACATTAAATATAAAGGTTGGTACTCATGATCATTCCATGTGTTATCCTTAATATTTACAAATATGTCATCAAGTATTTAATAAATTATAGCAAAGTTTAAATAAATTTATTTTCAAATCATTTTGAACGTACACAAAATAAAAATTATCATTGAGTATAAAAGCATGGAAAAGAATATTTTCAGTGTGTTATGCATGGTTTTAACTTATAATTATTGGCATTGGCATTTCATTGTTTTAAAGAGTTTGTAAATCTGGCAACGGATTGAATGTACTGTAGTTTGGAGAAAGGAGGATAAATTTTTGTTCTTACAAAGAAAGGGCTGTTGGAAAAAAAATTCAATCGAAGAAATTTTAACATGGTATGTATTATATTGTTATATACTTGATTTTTTATTTGAATGTGGCAGTTTGATATGGCTTTATAAAGCATTTCAATTGTTTTTCTTTTGAATTCAAAGTGGCGGCATCTTTTTTGTATTTTGATGTACGCATAAAGCTTCTTTGTAGTATTCATGTGATTTTAAGTAAATTATACTGTAATGTATTAATTGTTAAAGAGTAGGATCTTTCTTTTAAGCTCTTTGCTTGTATTTTTTGAAGTAATAACTGATTGCCTCTCAGTTTTGAAGTCCAGCTTGTTGTGCCAACTTGCCAAGTCTATGAAAGCCGAATATAAATTTTGGCGAGTATCAGTTTTTTCATTTATATCTGAATTAATTTTATTAAGGAAAGAGTATTATTCCAGGAAGATTCGATCTAGAATGGAGCAATTTTTTCCCCCCGTTATATATTTTTGCTGATATTCAATATCATCAGGAGAATGAACTGACAAGTCTGGATATTCTTCATTTCTCACGTGTCCATGTTTTTTGCTTAAAAGTCAATATTTTTTGAATTGAAAGAATATTTAGTGTTATTTTCTTAATTACATTGAAATTACCCCACTTAGTTTTATATGAAGTCATTTCATAGCTAATAGCGTTATTACAATATTTATGTAAAGTCACCAGATTTTCTGTGTACAAAAATTTGTTTTCCACCGTATTTTAGCAATTTAAAAAAACTCATATTAACTGCCCACACTTTGTTTTTCATATATTCTAGTATCTTAGTAAATTCTTAAATCTTCCACTATTTAATTTTTCCATCCATAAATTAAATTCATTGAGTAAATGAAAATTAAAACTACAAGTTCCATTCATTCATACTTGGTGATTTTTCAGTATCTTTTTGTAATTATTATTTTACTGGAATTGTCTTAATTTAATCTATTACAAATATTTGTAGAACATTTAAGATTTAACCCTTGTTTAAACAGGCAGTATTTGTATTTAATTTTGCTTTACATCATATGGTATATTCATAACTTCAGCCAGAGTATAATACATATATTGGCTCCATGTAATTATTTTATATTCATCATATTTAAGAGTACTATTTCAATAAATGAAAGTTTCATACTCAAGACTGTCATTATAAAAGTGAAACAGCATAAAATTTAAAATATTTAATTAAATATTAATGTACTTACACCAGAATCATTTAAAACAATTCAGTAATCTGAATCTGGTGTCGTGAAAGTGAATTTAAGTCAATTTATTTTCTGTAGTGTCTCTTAGTTATTTTAGATTAATTAAAGTTCAGTTAAAAGTCGATTTCTTAGTTTCCCTTATGTAGAGTTTTTTTTTAAACTGCATTGCTGTGCAGAACAAGATTTACCTGGGTATTTCAGTCCTTTATATTTCAAGCTTGGCAATTATGTCTTAGGAAAATACTCTGTGAAAAACATTTCTAGAATGCACCTATTTATATAACATATTTGCTTTTCATGCTAACCATCATTTGAAAATCCATCATAAAGTGCAATTAAAAAAAATTTTAATCTAAAATTTTACATGCAACTTAGATTTTTGTATTCTGTAACATTTTATTTAATTTGATTAAAAATGGGTTATTTTAAGTCTGAGGATGTGTATGAAAAAATAGTGTTTTTATAGTTAGGAAGGTCTTTGCCATTGTTTAAAGTAGTTTTCAGGTAAAGCTTTGTAAAAAGTTATAAATGTGTGGAAAGATTTTTAACCAATTTTTGTTAATTAAAAAGTAATGAATGAATCATTTATGCTGTAGTCCTAATATAGAATTTAACATAAAACTAATGTTCTTGATTTGGAAGATTTAAAGAAAATAGGGTATTTAACTTTTAAAGAAATTCTTTGAATTCTGTATGGGGGAAGTACTCAATTTTTTATACAGTGCAGTTTGAAAATTTAATTAATGTAGTATATTGAAGTTGGAAGTCGAGCTGTAATGATAAACAGTGTTTCTTTGGAAAGTTCTCAGTATTCTAGGGAAGTTTTTGAAAGTAAAGATAGCAAACTTTGCTTACCTTTTATTCGTGGATCCCGCAGCGCAAGTTAAATCTTCGAAATAAAATCTTATAGCGAGGAAAGTTTCATCATGTATACATTAATAAGAGGAATGAAGTAATAAATAATTAAGAATAGAAAAAAGGGACCATGGGATATCGTTTTTTGGCTGTGGGTGAAACGTGCATTATTATTGCTACAATTACTAGAAGTGAGTGAAAAATATTTTTCAAAATTCTTGATTAATTTGCAACAGCTTTGGCCTCATAGTAATGGGCCTGAACATGCACCTTTTAGGCCTAGTTAATAACCATGACCAAAAAGCACTATTTTTGTATTGATAAAGTAAAAACCCATAATTACCATAGTGTTGATAAAAATTCCAAGAACTTTTGATGAACCTTCGCCAGATTTTGAAGTTCAAAATTTGGGATGCTATAGGTATATAATTGAAAAAATTTTTTTTTTTTTTTAGAAATTATTTGTTTTTTGTGGTGGAGGTTGTATATAAGTTTATATATGGGGCAAATCTATTGAGACTTTTGTTAGTTTTAGTTTGAAAAGAAAATAGATTACGATTAATACTGTTTGAAGTCTCGATGTATTTGCTCAACGAAACATGTTTGCATGCTCTCAGTTAACCATCTAAAACCTCGGTTAAATTCTCAAAATATAACCTTTAGGATGTTGCGATCGAAAACACTTCCCTTTTTTTTTTTTACTGTTCACTAACGAGAAAAGTCATTAGGGTGGTCATTTGTCCCCTCCATAGATGAAGTAAAAGTTACTTGTTTGTCGACGCTGACAATAGTTTAAAATAGGTTAGTATATTTGCAACTTTTTCAAGGTTTATTTTGATTTAATTTAAACTAAACTATTTATTTATTAAGAGCAAAATGTGTACAGTGTGTGTGTATAATATTTACTATTTCTGATCAATCTCTGTAATAATTTGTGAGTTTTGTGTCTTTGTTTCTACTAGAAATTAGGAAACAAGAACAGAACTTGACAAAATATAAGAAATATGAACTAGCTTTATGTGCCTGCAGGTCGGAATACAATATTTGATCATCTATTTTTATTAATAAAATAATAGTAATGAATAATTTAATGAAATGATAAGGAATTCATAATAATAATTTTTTTAGGTGATTAGAACATGATTTGGTAAAAGTGTAGAATTTGATACCCCCTTCTTTTTTGGTGCTGATATCGGCCAAGAAAGTGCAATATTAAGATGGCCGCTACGCAAAGCCAAAATAAGAACAGAAGACACCATCACTTTTGAAATTATTCCTAACGATATATCACATTTTACACATTTTATAAGAATGTTAATATTTTTAAGAATAATAACATGCAACACTTACTTGAATATATTAAAACAAGTTTTTACATTATGGAAAAGAATAAAATTCACATAATATTAATGATGGGTAAAAGCTTAGAATACACTGCATAAACAAAGTTACGAAGGCGGAGCTACGTGACGTCCATAAATGGGTGGGACTAAGCTTGTGACATCACAGTGTATTCTTTATATATATAAGCGGCTAAAGTGTGTGTCGCCGATAGTTTGTTGTCACTCGGAAAGATGAGAGTGGAAATTAACGTTTCTGCAGTTTTTAATTAATATCTCAACCGATTAAAGTACTACAAAGATTAGAACGGTATCGATGGATTCAGAGAACTTTTTGGAATAAGAAGATACGCGTCTCGAATTTCAACTTGTCGCAGTTCCGTAGATATTCAAGAAAAAAGAAATTGGTACTTAACCAAATTCCTCTAATAGGGAAAACCCAAGAAAGAAAGTGGAAAATGTAGGAGAAAATTAGTTTTTTAATTAATATCTCGGCTAATTAAAGTCCCAAGAAGACGTAAATAGTCATAATGGCGTGCCACGGACTTGCAGAATCCAATGGTGTGCTTCGCTAAGCCCAGGAGCCAGCCGTTTCGGAGAACATGATGTTACTTCACCCCATATATGTATGCGGCTTAAGTGTCTGTTTGTCGCCGATAGTTTATTGGTTGCAGTTGTCTGTGTAACTGTACTAGCCAATGGGGTGAAGTTGCCACGGCACAGGGTTGCCGCTTCAATCGAGACGTAGACAATTTCCTGTAAAACTTGCCTTTGCTATGACCATCCATAAGTCTCAGGGCCAAACGTTTAAGTGTGTTGGCATTTTTTTACCTGAGCCTGCATTTGGATACGGTCATCTTTATGTTGCCTGTTCAAGAGTTTGTGAAAGAATGGACGTAAAATTAAAAGTAATTGATGGTCCTCTGCAAGGTGAGCTTAAAAATGATGGAAAGATCTACACAAGAAATGTGTACAAAGAGATGTTTGACATGTGAATTAACATTTTATTAAATCATCTTTATTTATTGAGCTAGCGGTGGCTCTTAAGAAATGTACCGCCAGTGGTTTCTTTCATTGCACTCTACTTTAAGCAATTAAGCAAGTAGAAGGAGGAAACCCCGTGGGGCAGTAAGCAAAGTGAGGTTCTTGCCACCTGCCCTGGGTAATTCAGTTTGAATTAGCAGAGACCGTTGCACAAATCATTTTAATTACAATTTATAATATCTAGAACAGTGGTCATTTCGTATGACTGCCGGGCCTTTTTAGTGTCTCATAGCCAGAGTCTGTTGTGGTATTCTCTATAGATATAGAAATAAGTATAAAAATTGTGTATACAGTCAAAAGTCGTTAATTCGAACACCCATAATCCGGAATGATCTATAATCCGGACCTCAAAGCTTCAAACTTTCTGCGCATGCGTCAATGGCTGAGAATATGCTTGTGCGCGTGAGCAAAATACGTTTACGAATGCGCGTTTAATGTATAACGAACTGCATAAGCTAAAATTATTTAATTATCTATTTCAGTTAATGTTGCAGATTGCGTTGTTCCTTAATCTTCGAATTGGATCCAGCTTATTATTTTTTGCAGACTGTTAGAGCAATTTTAAGAATACTCTGATATGCGCCCTCAA